AGGGTTTTAGGGTTTGGGGTTTAGCTTGAAGCCTCCATGCATCTGGGTTTGTTTGGTCTTGTGAGCAAGACTTTGCTGTGACGACAGCGTCAAAAATGGTGTGGCTTCCTTCTACCAGGATTCCACTTCAAGACTTCGGTCGACGGCCTCCTCTTGCGAACTTGCGACATCAGAAACGGGCAGCCACCGCCGTTCTGTATGATGTTGTGAACCCTAGATCGAGATTCTACTGCCAATCTATCCTTTATTCGTCAGCAGGAACCGGGCTGGCAAATAGTGCTAGGCTTGATGCGCCAGCAATCTTCCCAGCTTAGAGCTATTAGCCCGGTTGGTTGCAAGACCTGGGTCGGGAAAGATCTGTGCAAGCACTTCGGGTGAAGCTTCGAAGACTTGGAGCCCGGGGGGGAGGAATGAAGAACTGAACCGAGAACCCCCTGGCCTACTTTTGGCTTCGGCAGTCACCAGTGACTTTTAAGCTGGAGAGAAGGTAACCCGGCGCACCTTGGCCCGACTCCCGGGCATTGGATTCCGTCTGCGCCATGGCGGTGCGTGCACCCCGACGTCCAATCGAAGAATCCGGAATGCCAGCTGGGAGGCTACTTGGAGGTGCATACCCTCATGATTTGTGAAATTGCTGAACCTCTCACCCACCTGCTGTGCCTGGTGAGCCCGCACAATGCTGGGAACATCAGGCGGCCAGATGCTCAGATAGTCAAGTGGCACAGCTTAGGCGATCGAATGCCGTTCGCGTGAACCCGCACCAAGCCTCGACTTGGCCGCAGGGTTCAAGGCGAAGGGGCCCTCTTCACCCTCAACCCCTGCTACACCTCCATCTTCTGAGTATTCAGCTGCATGCATGTGTCATGTAAACATCGTGGCATGATCGAGGGGGCGGAGAGGGCGAGTCCAAAAGCAGATAAGGCTAGATCGCGCAGAGATTCCCTTGAAGTACGATGCACTCCGCTGTGCTTCGTCATTGTACTCCGCTATAGGTCGCCTGATCATATGCTGCACAACATCTTACTCCATGGTGGGTAAAACGTCATAGCCGTCGGTGCGCTTCATGAACGGATCGGTGAGTTGTGCAGGAGTCGGAATCGCATGATCCTCCCGAACCAGTCCCGGAACGAAAGGGACCACCCAGCGTTGACCCTAGGGCCCCCGCCTACCACTGCGTCTCTAAGCCCTAAGCAGTTTAATCTCGAATCACGAAGTAACAGTACTAAGTAACATGAAGAAGCCCCCAAACCTGCACCTGCCCAAAGCCCAAACCCAAAAGAGCTGCAGATCATCCTCCAGCTCGGTGATGGTCTCGATGGCTAACCAGTTCCTACATGGCTTTGGTCTGTTGCTCAGGCCTCCCTGTAGCTTCCCAGCTTCAGGTTAACTGCCAGGTCTATCGCCTCCCTGGCTTGGGTTCAGAGTGTTTCGTAGGGCGTCATTCGGGTACCGGGTTTCGCAGGGTTTTAAGAGGTTTCGGTGGGTTCGGGGTTGCGGGTTGCGCTAGGGCCTGCTACTACTACTACTCCTACTCCTACTCCTGCTACTGCTACTGCTACCGCTACCGCTACCGCTACAGCTACAGCTACTGCTACCGCTACTGCTACTACTCCTACTGCTACTGCTACTGCTACTACTACGACGACGACCACCAGCACCACGCCATGACTAGCATTCTTAGCTAGTAACTCTTGCTTTAATCATCGTCTTGTTTTGGCTGATATGAATCTTAGGTCTTACCCCTAAGCCCGAAACCCCAAAACCCTTAACCCCAAACCCTAAACCCAGTAAAATTTCCAGCCCAGTGCTTCCGAACTGCGATTCGAGATGAGATCTGACTCGGCAGAAGGGCTTTAGGGCCAGAGGGTTTAGAGGGTTTAGAAATTCAGATTGAGGATTTAGGATCCTAGGGCTTGGGGGCTACGGGGATGTTCGAGATTTGGGGGTTTAAGGTTGGGAAGTTCGGGTTTAGAGTCGTCTTAACATTGGCCCAAACTCCGAAAAGCTCGATCCTAAAACCCTATGACTCTGACCCCCAGAACCCTAACTCCCAAACCTAAACCAGGCCAAAAACCCCCGAAAACCCAAAGAGCCCCCAAAGGAGCCGAACCCCAAAACCACCGCTCTAGTGAGACCCTGTTGCCGGGCTTCAGGCCGTCCCCGGGTAGGCAGGCTGGAGACAAGTCCGGCTTTGGCCAACTCCTGGGTTGGCTGTGGCAGTGCTCAAAGGGTTCAGGCATTTCGCAAGGGGTTTTCATGCGTTCAGGGGTTGGGGTTTGGGGATTTGCAGCTGGTGACACTCGGGAAGGAAGTAGCACGAATATGATGAGAAGCACCTTGCTGAACCCCACATGCTTTCAAGCAACTGCTGGGCTCTTTAATTCTAAACCATTTCGATAGCATGAGAATATGACTAGCCAGCGCACGCAGCAGTCAATGTCATCTGAATTTAAGGCTCTGTTGGGGTGTGTGATTTAGGGCTGAGGCTCGGGGCATCGAATCAATGGGGATCGGGGATCCCGAAACAGCTCCTGGATGGCATCCGTGATGGTGAAGTACTCCTTCTCCTTCGCCAACTGCGAGAGCCTCTCGTCTGCGGTTCATGAACTTAGTTAGGCCCTCGGTGCATGTCGCAGCAATACAAAACAGGTGCAGCTGCCCATGGGCAGGAAGGGTGCTTGTAGGCTTCCAACTAGCACCCCGCGACAACTGGCAGCAACACTCTTCCGCCATGCGATGCACTTGTGTTCATGTGGTGACCAACAGATGGAAGTGAACGACAACAGAGGGGGGAGACCAGCTCTCCATGTGCAGCACGATCCCCAGAAGCCGCAAACCCCTACTGCAAAGCCCCTTCTGGGACCCTCTTATTTCCCTCCTGTACAAACCCCTCCTCAACTCTAGGAACCTCAAACCCTAAAAACCCTCACAAGTTCAAATAATAATGATAACAAGAATAATCATGATAATCATGAGGTTTTGCGGTATTCTATGGTACAGTTAACATGAGGAGCCCCAGGGAGTAGTATTGGTAACTATGCAGGACCCTATCTGACACCTTACACCCTGCACCCCAGCATCCTAGAACCCCACACGGAGAACCCCGCTCCGCCTCTCGAAAATGGACCTCGTGCAAGCGAAGAGGCCGGCCTAGCGCAGAAACAAGACCGTCCGCGGCTTTTCTGTTACTGCCTGTGCCGTCTGAGATTGCTATTGGCATCATTATTGTGAGATTGCTATTGGCATCATTATTGTCATTGTTATGAGCATAAGAAAGGCTCTGGGTGTTAGGCTTCAGAGCTTCGAGGTTGTGGGATTTAGGGCTTTAGGGCTTGAAGGACTTTAAAAGCTGTAGGTTTTTTTTTGCGATCCACAAACCCTCAACTCCAGAAACGCTGAACCCCTAAGCCCTTCATCCCAGAACCCTGAAAGCCTCCCTAAATCCCTCAAACCTGAACCGGTGGGTCGGGCAGGTGCTTTTCTCCTTTAAGGACAGTGGAAAGCCCGGTGAAAGAAAAAACCTCACCAAGCTTCCAATCGGTGCTCTGGTTAGAGTTTAGAGGTGTTGCGACACCAAACTGTTATGAATCGTTATGAACCTTATGCCTCATTTTGGAGAAACCCCGAGCGCCAAAGACGAAACCACTGCACCCAATTTGAATAAGCACCTCTCGACACGTGACCTGGCAAAGGTAACAAGGATGCTACTAGTTGACATAAACCCTGTATTGCCCTAGAATCGGGTTTAGGGCTTTAGGGCTTGGGCCTAAAACTCCTATAGCTTGAAAACCTTTGTGCGCATGTAACTGCGCAATATGACAGCCTCAACGCCCACACAGGCACCGCGGGCCTCGCCTGCCATGAGAGACATTTCTGCAGAGTGTACAGCTTAGGGATACCCATAGGCCCCTAAGTAGTTCCTTTTTGGGATTACCTTTTAGGATTCTAGAAAAAAGACCATAAAAAGGAACTACTTGGGGGCCTATGGGTAAGGGTATGCGTTTGGGGCTTAGGGCCTTTGGGCGTCACGGAATGTTTTTGAGCTATAAGAAGAGAGCCTACGCTTGGCGCCTGGAAAGCTTCAATCATCCCGGGCAATAGCTGTTTTTTTGGCGGCGTCCGCCGCGGTTATGGTAGTGATGGCAGTGCCGGTGGTGGCAGATTCGCTGGAGGGGCTGGTGCTTTGGTGCTGATTATTGTGACTCTGTTGATGCACCGGCAGCAACAAGTACCGAAGGCATGACGTAAGCAAACACCATGTAAGCCGTTAGTTCAAGCCGACAGACAAGACGACAACTGGACGGAGTTGGCACTCTCGAAAGCATGGGGCCTTTGACCATAGGCTCACCGAGGGCCCGCGAGAGCTCGCAGACCTCAGCGCAGATCCGCGCGGACTGCGGGTTTAGAGCTCCGGTTCGGTGCAATTCGGGATCCGGTCCAAGCTTTGGCTTTTGATTGGGACTTCGCCTCAGGTTTGAGGCTGAAGGAATCGAACATCTTGAGTTTCGGTCTTTGAGGCCCGGTATTCAGGAAATGGACCCTAACCCAAAACACCCTAAAAACCCTAAACCCCAAACCCTAACACTTTCTGAACCTACCTTCGCTTTGAATTGGACCAGTCAAAGGCGAAGGAAGATGATGGCTTGTCGTAACCTGTTGAATATTGGCATAATATGACAGCAAGCTTGCACCAGTCTTGTCGACTGCACACTGCAAGAATGTCAACAGATGTATGTTGCCAGATGTTTCTGGCATCAAAGCTGCACCTGAAAACGACATGTTGCTTCGCTGCGGAGGGGCATCGCCTTAGCCATGCTGCCAGACCTGACTGAGGAGACGATCTCCCGACTCGCAACTTCGGCCAAACTCCCATTAGCCTTGCCAAAGCTCCTTGAAAGCCTAGGCAGAGATATCTCCAGAAGATGCGCAAGTCGCGAACATGCGCAAGCTAGCTGAGGATATCATTCACGGCATTGAACAGAACTTAGCAAAGCTCTGAAATGATTTACTCCTTGTCACTACAAGTGTGAAGCGAATGTGATGAACGTGCACAATGGTAGGAATCGTCGTAGCAAGAGCCGTCGTCGTATGCAACTAAGGAGCTCGAAGGAGATCGTCAGTGCATCTTACTCCCACAGTCGTGACAGGCAAGCCTGACAACATTGGGTCAAGGGTTCGGGTGAATGTGCATGACCACCCCAACCCTCTGCCAATGAGAGAATGACCTGAGCGCAGCCCCAAAACCTCCTCTCGGAAGTAGGAACTGCCAGCCCAATAGCAACAAACTCGCAAGGATTTAGGGTTTAGGGGTTGGGGTTTAGGGTCACTTTAAAGGTGTGGGGGAATTTAGGGGGCTTAGTTTAGGATAATTCCAGGAACCATGACCGCTCCTCCGCCGCCACTCTGTCCCAACGCTCTTCGAAAAGCTGGTCCGAGTCAGAAAGCTCAGCCAATCCGAAGCGCATCCAAAAGGCAATCCTTCTATACCACCGGTTTAGGGCTGCTAGGGCTTATAGGGCTTCATTATAGGGCTTCGAGGGATTATAGGGCTTATAGGGTCTATCGGGTTTATAGGGCTATAGGGCTCATAGGGTTTATAGGGTGTAGGGCGCGATAACGAACTATTCAAACAGAAAGCCTGGCCTACCCACTTCTGCTGGGAGAAGTCTACCAGCACGCAGACATCCGTCCACCCTGGTCTGAGCCTGGCACGATGTCAGGAAAGGGATGAGGGAAAATTATAACAAGAATAAGAAGAAGAACAGTAATACGAATAACAATAAGAACAATGGTAAAAATAGTAGCAGTAATAAGTCACTATTCATCGTAATCACAAAAGATTTAATACTCAGAAGAAGAATCATGCCAATAATAATAAGAATAATAGGAATAACACTAAAGATAACAGCAAAAAAATAAATAGTACCAATACCATTAACAATGATTCAGTTCAAGCAGGAGCCCACAACGGCGAGACGAGTCGAACGCTAGGGTATGCTAGGGTCCTGCGGTCTTGCAATCCCTTCCCATCTAACCCGCCCGGCGACAAACCCCAAACCCTAAACCCAAGGGTGACACATCAAAAAAAATGATAAGCATAAAAAATTACCACGGTAGCCATCAAAAAGAATTGATATCTAACAAAAATTTGATAAGAGGGATCTCTCTGGGCTGATTCGTTGATTCATTCCTCTTCCAGGTTCAGAACCCATCGGCCTGGTGTCAGCCCGGTAAATTTCTTCTGCATAGGAGGATCGCAGGACATCCTTAAGGTTTAGGGCTTAGGGCTTTTGGGGTTTAGGGCTCTTGGCGCTGTTGTTGCAATGCCTGCGACGTGATTGCCGAGAATGCGAATCCAGCATCCACCCCCGACTCGAAAGAAGACATTTGGTACATATTTTCAATACATTGTATTAAGGAACGCTCTCCATCCAGGCCCGTTTCAGCAATGCCTACGCCCACATCTTGGCCGTTCTGCAACCATCAATATGCTCGTTGCAACTATGGACAAGAACGAGACCGAAAAACCCCTCAACTGTCTTAGGCTACACCCTTAAACGCCAAGCTCTACACCCGAAGCACTGAATCCCTAAACCCCGCAGACCAAATCCTCTGAACCTTATATAACACACCTAAACCTCTACCCTTAAACTTCCCCGACTAAGACCCCTAAATCATCCCTAAAAAACACTTCCTACAACTCGCAGGCTTGGCTCTGCGTTGCACATATCCGCTACCAGGCCCTGGTCGTAGATGTGATCGGCGGTGGCCTGGCAGATTATGGGCCTCGGGTTCAAAATTCAGGGTTTAGGGTTTTGGGGTGTAGGGTTCAGGGCTTCGGGCTTAGGGCTCGGACTCAGGAAACAGGTGCAGATCACAACTGTAACTCAGTCCGGTAAGTCCAGGTTGGGTAGCCCCAACTCTCCGCTACTTAGGTGAAGTCCCCGGAGCCTCGAAGTAGGGCCATGGGACGAAGGGCTCGAAAACGGGGCGTGGGCTCACAAAGCTTGTTGGAGTTAGGGTTTCGGTTTTAGGGGCTGTTTCAGGTGTGGGCTCAGGCGGAGCTCCCGAAGCCTAAGCTGAATACTTCGAACGCCGGTGCCTTCACTGGGACGAAAGCCAATTCGGGGTTTCCGTAAATAGGGAACCCTAATTTTGTACCCCAAATAGTAGGATCCTTATTGTAACGGCCCCAAAATAAGGTACCCTGGTTTTCGGAAACTCCCAATTGGCACTACAAAAACATACGATAGACCAGCGAGCTGAGCTGATGGACACCCCCTGACTCTGTTTTTCCAACATCGAAATGCTTCATGGTTTCCCTTGGTCGCTCGGTGCCCAAAGCCTAGTTTGATGGCCAGGGCTGTAAGCGAAACCCAACATCCACGAGAGATAGATATGTGTATATATATATACATAAAAATAACTATTACATATAACTGTTATATACAGCCATATATAACTTGATATAACTCTATGTAAGAAAATGAAAACTTTATAGCCAAGCTCGGCATCAACTGAAGTCCCGGTCCCCATAGCTTCAATGCGCAGGCGCGGCAATGAGAACTCCGCCAGACTTGTCTTCCTTGCCAGTCGCACTGAGGAGGGATAAAAGCGGGTTCCACGTTTCGGAGCCTTGGATTGGCAGGACAGCGCCTCAACGCAAGTTTCGGCTAGAAACGCTCTCAGATGAAGGCTTCGCACCAACACTCCGAACAATGACATTTGTGTAACACGAGGAGATGTCGAGTCCTGCATATCTTGCACATTCCTGGACCGCTCACCCTCTGCAGATCCACACTGGCCCACGGGTCCCGAGTCCTAATACATTATGTACATGTGCAGCCTGCATATTGGGCTCCCGTCTGGCCGTCTGCACACTGGTTACGGGCCTGCTGCTGCTTCTACAACCACGACTTCGAATTCTGCTACTTCCACTTCTCTGCTGTTTCTGCTACGAAGTTCCTACTATTTTTTACTTGTGCTGTTCTTTCCCTTTGCTACTACTCCCATGTCTGTTGCTTCCATCGAGCTACTTACCACCATTGATGTAACTGCTTGTGACAACCACCGCGACGATTGCAGTAGCAGCCATCATGCACCCCGCAAGCATCCTGGCCGTCATAAGCATTACTGTTGCCGCCCGGCGTCAACCGTCTGCAAACTCCCAAACTCTTGGAAATGACAGCGGCTGTTGTGACCGTGTTGATGAATATTGGCACAGCGGCCCTGATGCATGTATATACGCATGTGCATATAGTTGTATGTAGTTATATATAGTTCCATACTAGGTGTATATGTAAATATATATATATATGTATATATATATATATATGTATGTATGTATATATATATACATATTGTAACCTATCCGTATAGCTCTACATACATATATACATCTATATATATATATATATCTATATATATATATCCAGATGTATATACATCCAGGTTTTAGGTACAGTTGTATATAGCTGTACACAGTTATATGTCGAAATTTATATATATATATATATGTACATATGTGTAATTCTTTATTTTGCTGTATACCGCTATGTAGTCATAAAGTTATATATATATACATACATACATATATTTATATTTACACACACGCAGGGACAACTCCTGCATGCCTATGGCGAATATTTTCAGCGATGTCTATAGTGGTTCAGAGTACACTGTAGGGTGAATACTTCTTAGTCGCAGATGGATGATGGTTCTCGTACTGATATCAACTGTCACTATTTGTCTCTTACTTAATCGGATAGCTGCTATCCGTGGCATTTGCTTTTCTTGGGAGACCCCACGTCGGCGAAGCAGTGCTCACCCGCAGCAAGCAAGGAAGCGGCATAGAAGCCTGCTCGGGATGTGCTTCATGATTTCAAGGTTTCGGGGCTCTACACTGAAAGGGCCGCTTCTGAAAGACAATCTTCCAGATCACCGCACAGCTTCACTCACTAAGAGGGGGTGACAACAAACTGCAGCAGCACCAGTGTGGGCCTGCCCTTGCCCAAACCCCGCCTAGGTGGAGTCAGAAATCTACCAAAGTTGCTTGATGGCAAGAAGAGCAGGACAAGCGCAACACGATCATGAGAACGACAAGGAAGGCTTGGCTCGCCTTGGTAGTTCTGGCTGAGGTCAATCACCTGCCAAAGTATGCGGGGGTTGCAGTGCCGGCGAAGGCATGGAGCTCCTTCTGTAGCTGAGCAAGGCCACCCATTTTTGAAAGAAACTGGCCGGAACAACTTCAGTCCACAAATCAAAAAAGCTTTCACCACCTGAAGTTGAGGGAAATTGGAACCACAAAAGGAGGGAAGGCGGGAGAAGTAGTTGGAGGAAGCATGGTAAAGCATGCAAGAGTATAGTACATCATAATAAGTTTTAGATGGAACAAGTATCATGTAATAGATATTGGTTTGCTCTCGAAAATTTGCTCTAGTATATTAATCATTTGAGAGTATACAGAAACTGCAAAAAACCACGGAAGACTGAAGGAAGCAGACCAGTGTTTATTGCAGTAATCACGAAACCCCCGCCCCGCAGATGAGCACCACCCCATGAGAAAGCAGCTTGGGCATGTTACAGATGCAAGGTAAACCGTGCAGAGCCAAAATCCAAAGCCGTACGTGAAACCTCATAGTGCTCCTTCTCATGGCTATTGTAGCCTCCACAGTTCGAGGTTTACAAGAGAACTCCATCTGCTTAGCCACCGCCCCACGAAGGCCTCAAGGCGAAGTTGCCTCAAGTTTTGGACACAAACTTGCAGCTCCTCCCGGATAGCGTCGCCTGAGAGTGAGAGTGGGCTCACGAAAAGGGTGTCTTCAAGGCCCAGTTTCCAATTCAGATATAATTTTCAATTCGTGTATTTCCCAGATGGCTCGAACGTTGGTTGAGTTTCGGTCGCTCTTCGTGCACGTAGTCTTTCTGTTGCTAGTGACTGCTCGATCAGGGTTATTACCATGCAGCTTTGCTGAAAGCAAACCGTGGAATTCTACTATATTGATGTAACTTGTATTGTACTGCCACATCGACGCCGATGAAGATGATGGTCACGATGTTTATGATGCTGGTGATGCTGCTGATGACGATGGTGAATACGACGATGGTGATAATTGTGATGCTGATGGTGATGTAGATGATGATGGTGATGATGGTGATGATGATGACGGTGGTGATGCTGATGACCATGATGGTGCTTGTGATGATGATGATGATGATGAAGCCGATGTTGATGATGACGATGATGATGGTGGTGGTGGTGGAGAAGGTGATGAGACCGGTGATGATGATGATGATGAGGGTAATGATGATGATGATGATGATAATGTTGGAAGCTGTGGCGATAACAATGGTGAAGGATGTCGTCAAGAACACAGCCGTGATGATGACCATGGCAGCGGTGGTGCCGATCAACAAACACGAGATAATGTACTATGTCTATGCTTCATCTACTGCTACTGCTACTGCTGTTGCCACTGCCACTGCCACTGCTGCTGCTGCTACTGCTACTACTACTACTACTACTACTACTACTACTACATCTCGGGCGTACCTCGGCTACTCCTGGTGATTCTGGGGCAAGTTCTGTCAAAGCATAAGGCCCCCACCATTGTGCGATACGACGAAAATGATGTGCTGAATCCCGCCCCTGCCGGCTTCGGGACTCAGGTCTGATGCCCTGAACCACAAGCACAAACAAAGCAATAACTGCCACATCAACGTAGCAGAAGTAGTGATAGTACTACACCTGGGTCGCACCTCTGCGCTCCTGGCGACTTTTACGACCCTTTGCACCACTACCTCTTGTCTGTCCTATGCGTAGTACTCAGCTGCAGCAATAGCAAAGAACATCATGTTAGTGACACGCCTGCTGCGTCTGGCTTCTCCGAAGCGCCGAAACAGAAACATGGTCAAAGAAAATGGACTCTCCAACCAAATCACCAAGCTCGGAATGTAGCGTCACACAGCACAGCACGCAGTCTTCGAATATGGCTTTAGCATTCTCTGTACTGGAAACTTCGCTATCACGGGTGCAATGCCCAGCAGAAGAGCCCGTCAAAATCAGAATGGCAGCCCCAAGATGCACCTGTACAACTGCCTCAGCACGTGTGAGATGAGCGTGGTCCCTTCAATGTCGATCAGGGACTTCGGACGATGCCTGCAACAGCTGGGCACGACAAACTGCTGATGTCATTCCGCGAAACCTTGATCCCGCTACAGCTTGTGCATCCAAGAGCAAAAACATGCCAAATGAAAGCCTGAGACTGTTAAGCATCGCTCAGCAAAGACTCCCAGCCGGATCATCCGCTGTACCGAGATCACAAGGGGTGCTTCCGAAGGTGCCCCTTTACATCATGAACTTCCTGGCATCGTGGGACATGATGATGAGGATGATAAGAATTTCGATGATGAAGAAAAACGACTATGATGAGGATGAGGATGATGATAACCATTGTCATGGACAGCTGATGCAGCAGCCCTTTCAGGCTCCGACTTCGGCATGGACCCCCCACCTTGGCCTCCTCCCGTAGGCTTCGTTATCTTCGGAGGCGGCGTGGTGGCTGGAGCCTCCGACCCCGAGCGTGCCGCAAGAAGACCTTCGGCTTCTCACACGTCCGAGCCCAACCGAAGAAACTCTTGCAGCCAGCCGGAGGCTTCTGCGCACCCCCCGTCGTGCAGAAGACCTGGCCTTGCGAGGCTTCCTGCTCCTGCCTCGGCCTGCGCCTCTCCTCCTTCAGGGACCACGGTCATCGCCCACGACTGGCTCCCCTAAATGGGAGCTCCTGCATGTCGTTGTGCGTCTCGTCATGCTCGCCAGACTTGCGAGACTTGCTACTTCTGCTGCTTCGTTGCGTAACAGTCGCTTCCATTTTTTCGGCTGTGCATTCTGCAACCCGGCACTATGCGTACTGTTGACTGCGGCGATCGCCTCTCCACGATTCACGATTCGATTCGCTCTTCCCTTCACCCATTTGCTCCTTGTCTAGTTCAGCTGCTTCGGACGTACCTTGCTGCTTGCCCTTTCCTGAGTGCATCGTGTCTGCTGTACACCCCGTGGACATCGTGGTAAGGTCTTAATTACTGCTGCTGGTAACCCATTTGTTCTTCCAGGGACTTGCTCCCGCTGCAGCTTTCGAGCAGAATCTATAGGGGCTTCATCGTTTACGGTTTTGGAGTGTTTAGGGACTGTGCAGGGGGCTCGTGTTCAAACTCTGAACTATGGGGCTCTCAACGCTCAGTCGTGTGACAAACTACTTAAGCACCCTTCAGATTTTAGGCTTTGGCGTTCAGGGTTTAGGGTTTAACCCTCAACCCCTAAATCATAAACCTCTGAATCCGAAACCCCGAAATCCTAAACCCCCAAATCCTAAACCCCTAAACCCTAAACCCCTGGACAGGATCCCGAAGCTCTCAATCCCGAAATCCCGAAACCCAACCTCTCGAATCTCGAAGCCTGAAACGGAAAGAACTCTCCTCAACCAGCCCTCGGCGCGCAGAATTCTGACGTAGGGGCGTTCATAATTCGAATTGGGTTTTGGGTATGTTATAATGATAACTCAAAGATTTTAGTAATTGGGTTGCAAGGAACCCTTGAAGATAATAGTAATTGGCTTTTGGGGGTATGCTTTGATATAACCCTAAGGATTACTAGTTCTACTTATTCAAGCGTCAATTTCCCGAAGGCCCGGGGATCCCCTCCTAAACCCAAGATCTCGAAGCCCTGAACTTAAGGAACCCTCATGATCCTTGAGTCCTAAGGAGGGCCATCACATGGCCCCTCCTAAAGCGGAATCCGGGCTCATCCCTCTTGTCGGCCCAATCAAGATCCGGCTTACCGGAAACCCTGCCTAGGAGAAAAGTCTCGAGAATCCTACCCCAGAGCCCCTAAGTTGAAGAACCCTAAACCTTAGCTACCCCAACTCGACTACACCCCAAACCCCTAGACCCTATCTAAGCCCTTAAACCCCAAAAATTCACCCTGAATGCCAACCTCGAGTCCAGGGTCGTCGGCCGGCTCGCCGACGAGATCAGTGCTTTGGTGATGCGAGGAGGGCCTTGAACTCTGATGGCGAAAAGGGTTTAGGGTGTAAGGGTTTACGTAAAGGCTTGGGGTTTAGGCTTTAAGGGCTTGGGGTTTTGGGTTCAAGGGCTTGGGGTTTTGGGCGTTTTAAGGCTTGGGGTTTAGGGCTTTTAAGGTGTGGGGTTCAGGGTTTCAGAAGAGGATAGCTTTTAGGCTTTTGCTTGGGCAGGGGGGGAATTAAACCTTTCGGAAAAAAGGAGCCTAGGCTTGTGGTTCAAGTGCCTTGGGAATTAGGGTAGTAAGGCCGAGTTTATTTAGGGGCCTAAATAATTACCAATACTACTTTGGGGGTTCCTTATCAGAGTTAAAGTAGAATATACCCCAAAACCCTCTTCTAAGAATTAAGGCCGATAAATTATGCCTTAGGGTGCCTTATCAATCATAAGTAGACGATAAAGGAGCCCAAAACCCTATTCAGCTGTTCGAGTTTCGGGTTTGGGGTTTTAGGGCGTTTGGACTTTACGTAGAAACTGACATGCATGCTGCAGAACCTGCGAGCGCATGGTACGCTGCCCCACGTTTCTTCAGGTCAAGCCTCCCGAGAAACCAAAACGGAGAATCAGCACCTGGGACCTCCTGACGAAACGGCGAGCAGCAAGAAGAAGTCGAAGTAGAGCCCAAGAGACACAAGCCGAAGAAAAGTCAACTCCACAAGGAGCCAGCGCTACCTGCGCATAGCTTCCGAGACTCGGTCCTACTATGCGAGAGCATCGCACGATGCCAATCCCAAACAAAACTCTTCTAGATGCAACAGCCCTTGCGGAGAGGCTGTTCTTCTCCGGAGGAACCGGAGCGTAAAGTATTGGACCGCAATGTCTGCGAGTTTATGAGCTTCTGAGAAGCCCAGAAAAGTGCCCGACACACCCACCATGATGTACTCATGCTTAAAGGCACGGAACTGTTTAAGACAACAGTATCCATCGTCTTCTTCTTGGAAAATCACCGGCGTCAGACCGTCAGACTAGGTGTACATTCTCAGACTGAGCTCAAGGATCCTTATCCTCCCCCATCGATCCCTTCTGGGAGTCCGGCCCGGGGTCATGAGCCCGGTCTTCGCCATCCACGCAGGAATTTTCTTGATGGGGGGACGGTTGAACTTCTTTGGGCTCCAGAAATGCAGGGCTTCGGCTTTTCGGGCCTAAGGGGTTAGGGCTTGTAAGGTTCCTCAGTAAGGAGGGGCATGGGCTTACGGTAGTCTTCGGGAGATGCGCAGATATCTTGTTGAAAACGACACAGACACCTTCCCCCCGGCCCACGACCTGGATGTTCTCACTCTCTCTCAATGGAATCACGAAGGCCGGGAGTCGCCAGCCTACTGTGCAAATCGTCCTCCTTGCTGCTTACAGCTACATTCCAAGTGATGTGAGCCCGTGCGGCGAGTCACAGCATCCGAACTTCGTGACTGAGACTTGGAGCTCCGAAGCCTGTTGTGTAAAGCCTTCGTTTGGAGGTCCCAACGTGAGTATTGGATTTGTTTCAAAGCACCGTGGCTTCTGTAGCATACGCTCTGGTGTAGTGGATTTAGGTCAGAGGGACGACCACGAAAACATGACCTCGGACCATCATTGGCGACTTTCTCCCACCCCTCACAGCGAGAAGCATCAGCATATGAGTACTTGTAGCAAATTCTTGCAGGACTGCTGTCGCTGCCATCTATCTGAAGATATTTTTTGTTTATGTAGGTATTATTTATGTAGGTATTCAGTTATTTATGTATGTATGTGTATGTGTATGTGTGTATGTGTGTATGCCTGTATGTCTGTATGTCTGTATGTGTGTATGTGTGTATGTGTGTATGTGTGCATGCACACGTGGGCATGTGTGCGTGTGTGCGTGTGTGCATGTGTGTGTGTGTGGGTGTGCGTGCTAAGTGCGTGCGTGCGTGTGCGCGTGCGCGCGTGCGTGCGTGTGCGTGTGCGTGTGCGTGTGCGTGCGCGCGTGCGCGCACGCGTTCGCGTTCGCGTGCGCGTGCGCGTGTGCGTGAGCGTGCGTGAGTGCGTGGGCATGGGCATGGGCGTGGGCGTGGGCGTGGGCGTGGGCGTCGGCGTGCGTGTGCGCGTGTGCGTGTTATAATTGCGGCTACAATTAACATTTTTACTATTACTGTCATTATCATGTTTATTGTGCTAGTACTACTAATGACTACTACTATGACTTACTATGACGGTTACGAACACAACAAGGACGTTGACGACCACTATTGCCACTCCGACGATGGCTAGTGCCACTACTATGACCACACTTCACCAGTAGCACTACCACGACCAATGTCACTGCCTCTGCCACTACCCCCACCACTACGACTACCATTACGACTGCGACTACAGACTACCACATCTTCCACTACCGCTACTACTGCTTATACTGCTACCACTGCTACTAATGCTACTACGGGTACGACGACGACTGCGACAACGACGACGACTGCTGCTTGTAGTCGGTGTTGTCACAGTCACCATCGGGACTTGCTCATCATCAACTCATTATGATTCTTCTTCTTGCTAGTAGTCATCTTCATCTTCATGGCTCATACACCATCGTTGTCACGCCCCCACTCGTCATAACCAACATCATCCATTAACATCGCACATCACCACGACCGCCGCTACGACCACCATCATCTTCTTCCTTAGCAGCTTCATATGCGTCGTCGTCCTCACCCATCGCCGTTATTCTTGTATGATGCACACCTTGACCACTATCGTCACGCGCACCATAAGTCTACGTGCTACTCTCGACTCTCGCCGTCCTGAACACCACAACTTGAGTCACAAATGCATCTCGTCTTTTGCGCTATGTTGTTACACTGCTTCGTCCTTGACTGGAAATGATGACACGCAGCTGCTAAGGACAGAACTCAGCCGGACAACCAACCATTTTACAAACGCATCCGGGTTCTCCAGCTGCTCGCATCAGCGAGCCTAGTCTCAGAATCTCGCATTGCGGCGTAGCGCAAGCACACGCATCACTAAGAAACTAGCACGCATTCTCTGCATCAGCCACCTTAGCTGGATGTCGGTGGCCCTTGAACGATGTTTTTTGCTGTTCCCGTTGCCGTCTGTTTGAGTCTGTTTGGTTTGCTGGGCATGCCGGGGGATGGGTTTTGCTTGTACCTACCTGCCTACCTACCTACCTACCTGGCTGCCTACCTACCTGCCTACCTACGCCTACGTACGTACATACATACATACATACATACATACACACATACATGCATGCATCTCAGACAGACAGAAAGACAGACGGACACACATGCACACACACATGCATACCTGCGCAGATGCGTATGCAGAACACACTCATATATAGCACCTGCTTGTACCGTTGCTGTGAGAAGTATAAGCTGCTACATGCTGATTGATAACCCTCGATATAAGTTGTAGTCTCACTGGATGTCTATGAGCTTACGACACCATGAACTTCGTCTCGACTGTATGTAGATGCAAGCCTGCAAATCTGCAAATCTGCATCATAAGTTGAAACAGACCATGCAGCACCAACTGAAAAGACCAAGTGACATGCAATCTTGCACCTTCATGCGACGCTGCGACTTACCGCACAACCCTCTGAAGTGCAGCGTACTCGTCATGATATCCAGCAGAACATGACACAGCTTAGCAGAACTGTCCGGACAGGGAGCCGCTTCTTGAAATCATACCAGACTTCCGCTAAGACGGGGGAAGTCGGGCGTATGATTGGGAAAGTCAGCTCTGGGTGGCACCAAGCGGCTCTTCTTGTCGAAGCCCTCCTCCTCCCAAATTCTCGCACATCGCGCGCGCTCGTGCTTGATGGCAGAGTCCAGCAGCATCTGAAATGAGAAAACCTGGAGAAGCGACAAACGCGAGACACGACGACATTCGAGCAGGGAGGGCGTCTGGCGAACTGGAGACTCCACCTACAGGAACAGGGCCAGGCAGGGAGGGTCACGAGCAACAGCTTCGTAGGGCTGCATGGACGAGTTCGGTTCGTACTGAAACTCTTCTCCAGGTTCAGCAACGGCTCAGAATCCAGCGAAAAGGAGTGCAAAGAAACAAGAGCATGAAAGCTAGTAGCATAGTAGAATAGACTGCAAAACCCTATCCTGATTCTTTAGGCCCCAGTAGTAGACCCTACTACCAGCCGAAGATGGACGCAAAGTCGTAGCTGAGGCGTCGAGAGGCTGATGCCAGCAAGGCTCCGATGATCCTGAGAGCGACAGGGATTTCGGACTTTGATGCTTTGGCCCTTTAAGGTTTAGGGCTTTGGGGTTTTGGGCTTTAGGTCAGGGTTTAGGGTTTGGTTTAGGGGTCAGGGTTTAGCTCTCTACAGGATTTGGTGCCGCGGGCGTTCGGCTTGGAGTTTGGGGACTTGGCTTCAAGGGCTGATTGCAACTCTGTAGCCTTCCGGCTTCCGGTTTGGGCCTAGAGTCATACTTGACGCAACAAGCCCATGCATCCCTGTACATTGAAAGGTGGCCCCCTTAAGGAGCCCACATACGAAACTAGAAACACCCGAATGCGTCGGGCCCAGGCACACGAAGATGGCCGTGTGAAAGACGGAGTCGCGGATAATCCTTTGAAAGGCGTGACCCGTGAGGACGGTCTTGGGAAATTTCTGGGATCGGAGCGGCAAGGTTGGAGGCTTTTGTCCCGAGCCTTCCTGCAAACATATTTCGTGATGCCCGGTCATTGATCGGCCGAAGCACAACATGAGCAAGCCGCACAAATGCTCAGTGCCCAAAAAGCAACAGAAAAAAGTCTGAGCTGAGGATGTCTGCACCGAGAGTCTTGCAGGTGAGAAGGTTCTTCTGAAAGCAGGTATCTTCGATAGGCTCCTCAAAACCTCAAGGGACGGGCGCCCCCAGGTTTCAGGCATAGGGTTTCCAAAAGAACTTAGCAATAGGGTTTAGGGTTAAGTCCACACCTTGGCAAAAAGATGGAAAGACGTCAGGGGTGCCGGGCTGGCAGATCTCGGGCTTCTGCTAGGAATTCGCAGCTATGTGAAAGGCTTCGGTCGGAGGAAGGTATCCCCAACTTCCCTATGAGGAGGCCTTATCAATGCATGGCAAGAGACACTTCTCTTCTGTATTCTTGGCACGACTACTATTACCCTTGCTGCCATTGCGATGACGGTTTCCTCTACAGCGGCCACTATGGCTAGGCTATCTGCTATGCCAAAGCTGCATCTAATTACATCTATTGCTTGCTACGCTTGGAACACGTTCTAGTGCTGTTACATGCATGCCGTGCAGTACTACTGTTGCTGGTGATAGCTACACTACGCAAGACTTGCGGCTTGTCAAAACCGTACGATAACTTTGGGTTGATGGACAAGTTAGGGCAGTGCACGCATATCAAACATGTGGGCGTGTCTGTAATATAGGGGCCTGAATAATTAGATTTGGGGTATATTCTACTATAACTACAATACGGAACCCCCCAAAATAGAAAAGGTACTTATTAAGGCCCCCTACAGTAGACGCACCGGAGGATTCGACTCCTGGGCTAAAAAGCGCTGAATCCGAAGCCTAAGGGGCCGAAGGTCTTGAGGAAGACCTTGAAGATGCCAAGCACCTTGGGTTAAGGGTTTTCGGGTTTCGGGTTTAGGGTTTAGGGTTTTTAGCGTTTCGGGTTTCGGGCTTAGGGTTTAGGGTTTAGGGTTTCGGGTTTAGGGTTTATATAGCCGGGAGCTTCTTCTAGGGGTTACTCTAAAGGCTTCTTGGAGGGATTGAGGGATTGAGGGGCCGTCATGACCAGAATAGCGTTTTGGTGTAGACTACAGTATGTTTATTTCAAAACCTGAGGCGGGTTTTAGCTTTAGCTGTTCCGACACCCATGCTGGCAAACTCGAGGCGGAAGCTGCTTACGCTGCGAACCTCAGGCTTGGGACTCAGGTTTCGGTCCTGGGGTGTCGAGCTCTGGCTTTGGTGTGTTTACAGTTGCTGTGGCTCCAACTGACGATTGTCAGGCCATGCTCGATTTTCTTCCGGTGGGACCGACCGACACTGCACAAACCGCGGGACTTGAGGATTCCGGTGTTCCAACATGAAGCTTATTCGCAAGGGGGGGCTCGAATTTCGAGGCGACTCAGAGCTTCGCATAGGGTAGAAGACGACAGAGAGGCACATGGCTTCTGAGTGTGGATGTACAGAATCATAACTATATGGCACGCGGATGTACACATGGACGCGTGTATGTCAATGTAGAGCTTCATAATCCTCGAGCCCAATCCGGCTCAACCCTGCGCCTGATGGCGCTGAGATCTTCTGGCTCAGCACAGCCAGCTTATGTACGCCATTCTGAAGTCTGTAAACTAACACAAGAATCCACATTTCCGAGGCATCGACGGCTGAGCACACCTCTGCATCGCCGATGAGGTAGATCTTCGAACATCCAGCCCCGAAGAAAGCCTGCATTTTCTGTCAGACCTGTCGACCTTCCGTAGCCTCAGATTCTGGAGATGACTTAGCAACTCTGGAAGTACCAATCAAGTCTGTATCCCGCTTGGGCATCGGCACTCCTTCATCGCTACAATGATGTGTTCTGGGCGCTCGGTAGCATGTCATGCTGCTCGATGATCTGGTACATGGTTCTGCACGACGCTGCTACAAGTACAGCACCGTGTATGCCATTCTGGTTTCGACCCCCTTGCAAGATTTTCCACGTGCGCTACAAACGATCAGATTCCGATGGTGCTCTGATCAGCCTTTCCGCTACCACTCATTCATGTGAGGCTTATCCAGCTCTACGTTGTCCACAGGCACACTACTCAATCTAACTCTCTATTGCGATCCATTGTTGCCACTTTTGGAACCTCTCAACCCTAAGTGTAGAAAGGTAAAGCAAGCCCTCATCCCTGAACCTAATATGCTTAGCCCCAACAAAACCCAAAAACTCCAAAGCCTCAAACTGCCCTTCGGAAGCCACGCCAAGCCCAAGTACAGGGCTCTGTTGCAAATGAATGTCTAAATTGAAAATGTGTGTATGCCTGTATGCTCCTGCGTTTCTATGCGTGTGCAATAAAAGCATACACATATACATACACATACACATACACATACACATACACATATACAAAGACATATGCATATGCATATACACATACATGTGCTATATATATATATGTATATGTATATATATATGTGTGTGTGTGTGTATACATATGTACATATATTCATATATTTATATACATATATACTTTTATACGTGTATACTTATCTGCAAATGTACATCTATACATATAAACAGATATACAGATATACATATATACATATATACGTATATGCATATATACATATATACATATATACATATATACATATATACATATATACATATATACATATATACATATATACATATATGTATATATACAAATTACACATGTATATACATACATACACATATACATATATACATATATACTAAATAAATATATACATATACATATAAACATATATATATATATGTATATTGTATTTATATTGTCTTTATATTGTGTATGCATGTATGTATGTATGTATGTACGTACGTATGTATGTAAGGACGTACGTACGTATGTATGTATATGTATATATGTATGTATGGGTATATACATCTACTCTCTTACTTATCTATCCTCTACGTATTTATTTATTTATCGATATTTCTATTATCTATCTATTTAATTTAACCGTGGTTATGTCTAGAGTTCTATTCATATCTGCAGTGCTTGTATCTGTGTCAACATTTTTGGTTTTGTATTAGGGTTGCCCGCATACTCATATTGGTGTTTACGTACATCGGAATGTGTATGTGCAAATTTGCATGCGTACATAAAAAATATACACGTATTTATTTAATCATCTTTCTATACATATACATACACATGCTTACATGTACATATACATGTGTAGGTATGATATACATATACATGGTGCAGATGCATACACATGTGTAAGCATATGTGTGTATATTTAGATACGGATGTAAATGCCATAATATCTGTATACACATGTGTATACATATGTATATATATACACAGACACATGCATGCATGCATGCATGCATGCATGCATGCATATATGTCTTTGTATGTGTATATATCAATGTATACATACATATATGTACATACGTGCTTTCCGAACCTTGGCCCAGAAGTTAGAACGGACAATACCAGTTACCAGCCACGACTGGGATAGGCCTGGATGCCGGTGATCAGGCAAATTACGAGAGAGATGATGAACCTCAGGTTTCAACTCCCAGGCTTACGGCACATTCTGGTTGCAAGGGATGATCAAACATCAGGGCTTAACTCGCGAACGCGCGGCTAACATCTTCTATGCTTTTCCAAACCGTGCTCCCGGAGATTGATAACCGGAAAGGTCTGATTTCGAGCAGCAAGAAAGCGATTTTGGGAAGCCTCCAGCACCTCTTTGGGCGGGGGGTGCGGCTTCACATCGAATTTAGAGCACCAGGTGGCATTAGGAGGACGATCACCTGCGCCAGCAACAACATCGACCAGAAGCAGAGGTGGCCAGAGGTGCAACTTCGGCAGCAGGCCTGGGTCACTATAAGGATTCCTTCTTTATGGGTATTGACTAAGGGTTTCTATGAAGGTCACTAGGGTTGTAGTAAGGGTTCTATCCGGGTTACTAGGGTTCTGTGAAGGGTTCCGGCAGGGTTACTACAAGGGTTCTAGGTGAGCTGAGCCTGTTTTGCATAGAGAACTGACTGCCTATCTACTGGACTGCAACATTGCACATTTGCATAGATGCATGCATACCGACACACATGTATACATACACGTACAGAGGAAGATGTATGTAGCAAAGATGGGGAGGAGGATGCTCAACAATGACGGCGATTACGATGATAGCCACGGTGGTGCTTCTCTTCACCATCATAATCATCAACAACATCATCATCATCATTGTCTGCATGCCGTTTTACTACCAGGCTTTGGACAGAACACTTTCCTGCACATCGGACCGCAATGGCATTGTCGACATGCAGCTAGGTGCGAATCTAAAGCAAATTGTGATGCGTGTTGGGAGGACATACACTACTCTTGACGGTAACATCGTGCAGAGATAGTTGGCCTTGGTGCGCATGTGTACGTAGGTACGTACAAACACACACACACACACACACACGCACACACACGGATATATATATATATATATATGTATATATATATACACACATATATATATACACATATATATGCACATACATATATATATATACATATATTTTTTTTTATGTATTTACTTATACTTATTTTTATGTGTGTGTGTGTGTCTCTGTCTGTCTGCCTACCTGCCTTCCTGCCTTCCTGCCTGGCTGCTTGCCCGCCTGTCTGTGTGTCTGTCTGTCTGCCTGCCTGCCTGCCTGACTGCCTGGCTGTCTGTCTGTCTGTCTCTGTTTATCTGTCCGCCTGCATGTCTGTCTGTCTACGGAAATACCAGATGCTTGAAGAACACAGGGTGTAGTTAAATTGAAAACTTGCACCGACAATAGCTTCGCTTCGATGCCTTGAAACACACAGAAAGCCAAGGCATCAACCAACAGAAAAATGTTCCTGCAATGCTCCGCAAAGCTACGAGGCAGCTACCACAGCATGTTCGGATTCTTTCCACGAAGGTCTGCGGCGGCTGGTACTCAGACTCCGGAAGATCTGCCTGCGCTGCTTAGGAGGATTACATACATACATACATACATACATACATACATACATGTACATGTACATGTAAAATTCTTGTATATTTGTATATACCTTGCCTTGAAAAGATGTAGAGAGAGAGAGAGAGAGACATTGCTTGTAGATACACACCCTATATCCTAAGCCCTGGACCTTCAATTTCACGCCCGAAAATCCAGAAGCAAGTCTTGCGGGTTCGGACCTTGGGTCTCTACAGAGAATGGACAGTCAGAGAAGCAAAGGAAGGTCCCAATAGTCCTCCCACCTGCTGGGATTGCTACTGATGCTACTGTTGTACAAGATTTCAACAAGAAAGCGCATGGTGCACCTGCGGGCCACCAAACCATCCGTTCGCCCAGAATCCATAAAAGAGCCTCGCAAAGCATGACACATGGCATATCGCCCACGGAAGTCTCAATGGTCCAGGTGACTTGCACATCACATACAATGCAATCTGCACAGTCTTCGCATGTTCCTTTATGGCATTTGCCGCGAAACATCTATCCTATTAGGGCTGCTCGGTGAGGAAGCATCTAGCAGCTGCTTAGAAGCATCCTCCCGAGACCCAAACTCTCTGGCAGGCAGGCTTAGGAAGCGCAACTTGAGAATCCCGTCTGGAAATTTATTGCTGCCAGGCAGACATTGTTGCGCTGAAGAGGAAGAAGAACACGAAGTATGCGATCCACACGATTCTCGGCTGCAGCATGAGAGAGCCAGAAGAGTCGAGTCTAGCAGCCAGGCGCATCAAGCCCTGGAAGAGCAGATGCCTGAATTCTGGTCTAGCAATAGCTTTAATTCCGTGCCAAGTATCTTGTAGATCATGCCCATCTGGTCCATGAGTGGAGGTGCTTTGAGTCCGAGCATCTGAACAGCTTCACAGAGCTAGACTAGTGGGCTCGCAACCGTGAACTCCAAGCCCAAACCATGGAATCTTCAGGGCAGAATGGCAGCCTGAACTCCCGGAACGTAGTCCTGTGAATCGTGAAGCTGCCATGTACATTTTCATCATAGTTGATCATGTACTGTACTGCCCGATGCTGACGACGATGTGATGATCCGGCTAATGATGGTCGTGATGAAGATGCCCGTCAAAAAACATCATCATCGAACTACCATCGGTGGGTATTGTCAGGCTCAATAGCCACACATGGTAGTTGTTCTTTGCCTTTGCTTTCTGCTGGGAAAAGGGGGAGAGGAGTCCGAAACCCGTGTGATTCCTGGAACTCTCGGTTCCGGAAATCAGTCCTGCTTGTTGTCTGCCACCATTCAGACTCTTGCTCTCATTTCTGAAGGTGGTCGAGAGGTGTTCAAGCAGTATACTTGCTGCTTTGATCCCAACTTGAACATCATAGCAAGCACCAAGGTTGGGCAATGCTGCCATACGCACTGCAGCCGGTGCGATGATACTAAATATGGCTTGTAACATGAACACTACGACTACAATTACATCCGGTGGTGACTGCTAGTGGCTTTGACCTGTACCAAAAATCTCGTGCTTATTGTTGTCTTCGTGTTGCCAACAGATGATGTTGTTGGCTGTGGAACTGGAAGTGCTAGAGCAGCGCGGGGCGAGGAAAGGGAAAGTGAGCTAAGCTCGAAGGAGGAGGGCTTGGATTTAGCATTCACCGTGAAGCCTTCGCATCCATCGTCCAATCCGAAAATCTAGAATCTAGACCCAACAGACTAGCAGTTACGTTCCTGGTCATGCATGTTGCAAGAGAGACGTCCCAAACCCAGTTGCCTGCGAGATGGAGTTGATCACCCCACTGATGGTCGACACCTCCTTCCTTCGCAGCGTCGGTGTCTGTAAGGGTGTCAGTGGGGGGTGTGCCTGTGCGAGTTTGTGTCAAAATCCCAAAAACACAACCTATGCACACATGTTCGCCGTGTGTATATATATATATGTACGTACACACACACACATCCATACATGCAAACACGCACGCGTATATGTGCCTGTCTTCGGAGCTTCGTAGGCAACTGTTGCCTAAGCCTGGCTGCTTGAGTTTCTCTGCAAAGGGCTCGGATCAAATCCCGTCAAGCTCTTTCAGGGTCGAAGGTTGAGACTCGAACATCTCCTTTTTGTCCTTGCGACAGCTATAGTATCTTATATATTCTACCTATCATGGAGACCAGAAAGAGATGTTACAAGCCTAAATCTACTAAACCCTAAACCCTAAACCCCTATTTCTGGCTAAGAAGGAGGGAAGCCCAGCAGTTCGAGTTTCCGGAGAGTTCGACTGCAGAGCATGGGAGCCTCCATGAGCTTTTTTTGAGGGCTGAAGAGCCGGTGAACTGAAGCTGATATAGGGGCTTTAGGGTTTAAAAGTTTAGGGTTTAGCGCTTTAAGGTTTAGGGCTTTTTTAGACTTCAGGGTTTAGGGGTTTAGAGTTTAGGGTTTAGGGTTTAGGGTTTAGGGGGCCTGAACACTTGAAATTCTGAAATACGGCTGCGCGGGGGGGAACCTTAGGAATATTATTGCCAGTTGTCCGACCCCTAGATTATAGGCACTGAAATCTAGCAAGCAGCTTCGCCGTCGTCAACGCCTTGATCACCTGCGTCCAACAAGTGCACTTCAGAGCTAACCCCTAGACCCGAAAATTGGCTCTAACAGCTTTAACCCTAAACCCCTGTAGCCTCTAGAAGCAGACAACCCGATTCTCCATAATCATATGTAATGGATGATGGGTCCTGGAAGAACTTGATCACAGAGACTGTTGTTAAGTACGTGCACTTCCCTATCTAGTCCACGCCTGATGGCGTTGCCATGCCGTGGTAGGACGAAAGTTTGACCTACTCCCTGTTCCGTCGAACACAGGCCCTAAAGTAGTTTATTTTCACAACGGGGAATAAAATGCTCCGCTGGCCAGACCACGTATTTCGAGTTTCTCGGCACTCCGCTACTCCTCAAGACATCTAAAGCTCCAGTAGGTCAAAACTTCTGTCCTCCCGATGTAGTAATTTCTCGCTCTAGCTATCTGAAGTACTTGTTCTGCATGTCTCAATCCTGTCTAGTTCTTCCAAGTCCAACTCTGTTCGAATCCAACAATGGAACTGGGATCTGCAGCAGGCATGAGCAGAAGCAGAATGAAAAACGAGCGAAACATGAGGTGACTGAAAGAACTACGGGCAGCAAGCCGACTGAACAGCCACGGAACTCAATGCAAAACGCGTCTGATGAATGAATTTGCAAGATGATCCTCTGACTTGTGCCCTGGCAAATGAAGGGCCAGGACGGGTATCATCCCAAGGTGCCATCTAAGACAAGTGTCATCATGAAAGCAAGCAACGGCAAGCTGCGAGAGACGAATCAAGGGCACACTGTCTTCAGCTTGAGGTATCTGTTCAAGGCGGTTGCAACTGATGCAGAGATGGATACACACATGTCGGTGGAATGCGTAAGCAACCAAGTCCACTTCGGTGCGGCAGTTACACTGCAGGCCAGAAACCAAGCTTTAGGTTCTCTTGCGGCTTTACAAGCGCGGAAGATTTCAACACCCAGGCAGCTTCGATAGGCGCCGCTTAAATATGCACGACACACCCGCACGACAGCCTTGAAACGAAAGGCCCCCGTTGTTCACTGTCCAAGATCGCGGAGCAACACATCCTGAGCAAAAAATCAAGGATAGATCCATGCGCCTGCGGGAGGCTGCTCTGCAGATCCTTCATCGTGTCCGTGAGGAAGGTAGTCGCCCCACTGAGATGCATGGTGTAGTCCTCGGCACTCGCAAGTTCAGACTTGATGCTGCTCAAGACTTGGAAGACTTGGGATTCATGGCTGAAGGCTAACGCTTCAAGGTCACCGTGTCTCCGTGGCAAATCTTGGGACCGACACCGGAACTCTGCATCCCATGCCCCCCAAGCCCCATATGGGTCGGTCGTTTTTTGTCTTTAGGTTCAAGCGAGGCGGCTGTGTCTCTGATAAGTTTGCACGCCTCAGCATTGCCGGCGGAGCACCTGGACATATTTGGTCTTGCGCTTCAGAATGTAAGATTTGGGTTTGGGGGGGCCCCGGATGAGAGGATTGCATATAGTTGTCTGCACACATCCAGGACTCTAGGTGCAGCCGTTCCTGCACCCTTTCACAGTAGAAAGCACTGCATTCACGGAACAACGTCGGATTTGCTGTGGCTTACATGATACGTAGGGTGAAAGCTTGTTACCAATGCATAACAACACATTAGCAAAATTACATTCCATTGCATTGGCAATACACGTCTGTTGTTTTCAGTGGCTTTGCGTTACGTATATTTTGTGGTCCCAACTTGCATGTTACGATGTACTTCTAAATGTCCATGACACCCGTACACAGAACTTTCCATGGCACTGCTTTCCATCAATATCCATTGCATTCGAGCGAGGGCATCTTGCGCTTGTATTCTTTGTATTGAATATAATGCATACAAACTTGTGCATATTCGTCTACATGCCTATCACATGCTGACTTACATGCATGCATGCATGCATGCATGCATGCATGCATGCATGCATGCATGCATGCATGCATGCTTACACCTTCCTGTAATTCCTTTCCACGAGCTGTGCTAAAATACGGAACGAATTGGTGGGCGAGATTGTGTCACGTCATACTGAGCAACAGTGCAGCACATCTTCAAAAATGCTTGCCTGCCTATTGCCATTCCTCAGCGTTGTGTATATATACACACACACATACAAGATGCCTACATATACACATACATGTGTGTATGTGTATATATATATATACATACATGTTTCTGTACATATATATATATGGGTAATGTTA